TGGTTTGGGTTGGAAGGGACCTCAAAGATCATCCAGTTCCAACCCCCCTGCCATGGGCAGGGACACCCTCCACTACACCAGGTTGCCCAAAGCCTCATCCAACCTGGCCTTGAACAATTCCAGGGATGGGGCAGCCACAGTTTCTCTGGGCAACCTGTGCCAGTGCCTCACCACACTCAGAGTGAAAAATTTCTTTCTTAAATTCAATCTAAAAAAAATTTTTTTAAATTGAGCATCTCACTGTCCTGCCACAGCACAATTTATTATCCTATCAAATCTGTCCATTCGAAAACTGGTGACAGCTTTCGGAGATAATAAAGTTTCACAGTAAGAAAAAACATGCCCGTGATGGTAAGTTCAGAGGGAATTTTGGCATGTGGAGCGTGGCCACCCCACACAGCCCGGGTCACGTGGCAGCTGGCACCAGGCAAGGTCTTGTCGTGCCACGTTCACCTCTGCCACGGCTGCTGTGAAATGTGCATGCACGCACAGCCCCCTGTGCTCTGCAGCCCTTTGAGGAAAAGCCCTCACTGGCTTCAGAGGGTGTTTTCACCCTCCCGAGCACCGGCAGGAAGAATTTGGGTTGTGAGACATCTTGCTGGGGGTCTCTGCCCTCCCTCTGCCCGCGGTGGGGGGATGCTGTGACAGGGAGAGCTGCCCGGCCCATGCTGCTGGCGGATAAAGCTTCCCTGGGGGAAGCCCTGGCAGGAGCAGGGTGAGCCACCTTTTCCTCTCATTATTAAAGGCGGCTTTTTCAATAAGCAATCGATTCCTAATGGGACCCTGACATTTATCTGTCAGAGGCCACCGGTCCCACAGGGCAAGATCCTGCGGCCAGACCCAGCATGGGCATGTCGGATGGATTTTTTTAATGCATTGGTCAATAAGCTTCCCATTTTCTGCGGAGGAATAAGCAGCCCAAGTTGCTGGTTACAGACTACAGAGCCTTAGAAGTATTTCTGTAGCTTATGCTGCTGTCTAGGGGGAAATGACGAAGGTTTGCTTACGGTAGGACGGAGGACTTCAGAAAATATTTCTATTTAATAATATGGAAAATTATTTGAGTTTTTGCCAAAGTCTCTCGCAGTGAGGGAAAAACCCGCCTACCTGTTTCAGACGTCCCTAAACCAGATGTGCCACCCTTGGCACCCTGACCTCTCGATGCGCTGGTTTAAATTACGGATTTCAAAGACCATTTGGAAACGAACGTCCAGTTTTGTGGTTGCTGTCACAAGTCGCACAGACGTCCTTGCTGAAGTCACAAGAGGAAAACACAGTGTCTCTGGTTCAACTGTGTTCCCTTCAGTCTGCGTAGTAATTGCCAAACTGCCACTTCTGATAAGGATTTGCAGAGTCACAGGCATTGACCCTCAGGGCTTTGTGAGAGGGATCCACTTCCAGGCACGCTGGCTGCTGGAGGTGCTCTGAGATGAGGTGGTCCGTCTGTGGGGAAGAGAGAAGGGGGGGGCTTTAGGTAGTGGGACTCACGCAGTGGCAGCTCTGCTTTTCCCCAGAGAAAGCCTGACTCTTTATGGAGTGCCCTTTTTTTGCGTTTCCCTAATACCTAAGAGCTCTTTGCTGACTTACAGGGACTTTTGGGTGGGATCCAAAGCCTGCACCTGTTGCTGAGCCAGGATCATACCTCACCTGCTGAGCCTCGTGGCTTTGCCTTCACTGGAAATGGAAAAATTAGTTCTCTTGCTGTCCGAGCAGTAATTCCCATGCAAAGGAAATCGCTCCAGGTGGTATTTGCAACAGAGGGGAACGAAGGGCAGGAGACTGATTTTAGTATTTTGGAGTTTCTTGGCTGATGACCTCAAAGCACATTTGCTGTGCTGAAAAGGACGTTAGGTAACGCAGCGCCGCAGTTCAAGTGCTGGGGCAGTAAATTGGATTATGAAAGAATGAAGTGTCTGATCTCCATCCTTTTGCTTTCACATCTGCTCGGCTTTATCTGCTTAACCCACGTGGCCGCTAAGGCAATGCTGCGCGTGCTGCCAAAGGTGAGGGACACTTCCGTGTCACCACCTGGCACCGCAGCATTTCGTAGGATCAGTTGGTTCAGACGTGGATGAAACACTCCCGAAACGACACGTAGAGTGGCGTCTGGGCAAAAGTTGGATCTTTGTGTGTATAGTGAACCGGGGAGCGTGCCGGTGCCTGAGACTTGGGGCAGCCAGACCCGTCCCCTCCTGCGGCCGTGCCCACCCCCCTGTCCCAGTGGGGACCACCAAATACATCTAACTCACAGCTCGAGGCGAGCTCGGGCTGGAAGAGGTGACAAAAACTGCCCGTGCACTGACAGCGCTGTCTGGACTCCCAAGCGGATGACAATTTTCATGTATTTTTCACAAAACACCCTGGGCTTTGTAAGCCTTGGCGCTGCGGCGTTCTGGCTTTGAAAGTCACATTTTTTTCGGACTAAAGAGGATTGGGAGCTTGTTGATATGATGAGAGTACAATTTAGCTACATTTTTTCTTTCTTAAATTCAGAGTATTTCTTTCTTAACTACAAAGTATCCAATTTCAGAGCATTTTTGGCAACTACTTAACACCAGGCTGACCAAGACACAGTCGCGACTCTCACTTTTTGCGGTGCAGGTGATAAATGCAAGTACCCATTCTTTTCCTAAATGCTTTTCTTTTAAAAACCCCTGCGAGCTGAATGCCAATCAATATCAAATAATCTCTGTGTAAGTGCTATCGACGGGTTCTATGTACAGCCGAGACGTTTTGCGAGCACTGGGGCACTGCCAGCGTGTCCCCAGCCCCGGGCACAGGGTGTCGGGCTGCCCGTCGCTGGGACCGATGCAGCACAACGGCAGGGCATGCACCGCTACCCTGGGGCGAAGGCAGTGGCACCGGGGCACCAGTGCGAAACGGCAGGTGGAAGGGCGGCTGTGGGAAAGCCAGGAGCAGGGGGCCGGGGAACAGCCGGTTGCACCCCGGCACGCTGACCCCAACCGGGGAGCACGGGCCGTGGCGGGGGCTGCTCTCGCCAGTGCTTCACTTACCAGCTCGGGCTGGAAGGCGGCCAGCGACCGGTGCAGCCAGGTCAGGCCGCGGCTCCCGTCCTGGCAGCGGCGCAGTGCCAGCGCTCCCGCAGCGCCGGCCGGCACGACGCAGAGCTCTCCGTGCTGGATCAGCCTCAGCCACGTGTAGTTGAACTTCTGGTGCTGTGGGGAGAGACCAGGGAGAGCTGTGACCCCACTTGCCCTCCCTTGAAGGGGCTGGCAAGCAGCTGGCAGAGGGTCTCCTCGCCTTCCTCCTGCCCTCACCCAGGACCGCAGGATGAGGAAAGCTGCGATCCATGGGAAGACCTTTCCTACGGATTTGCAGAGCTAAAAAGCTCAGGACAGCCCCGGCACAGGCTCCGGGAGCCCGGACCCGATTTCTGGGCGCTCCTCTGCCCTGCCACCTGCCCTGGGGCTGAAAACGGATAAACCCTGGCACACAACGGGGCCGATCCGCACACCAGCCTGTGCCAGTGGTGAGCAATCAGCAGGGAACTGCCTCAGAAATGCTGCCTGTAAAGGAAGGGAAAGGCTGTCCACAGCGGCTGCTTCCCACCCAGCGACAGAGTGCACCCGGTGTTCCGCAGCACCACACACACCCCGGCCTCGTATCTCCCCTCACTTCCACGTGCAGGCTCATGGCTTTATCGAGCTCTCCCATTCCAGCCCAGTTTGCTGGTTCTGGGGTTCTTGGCTACAGGCTTTGCAAAGAGAGGCAATTCCTGCCCCTCACTGCTCCCAGGCACCGTTTGGCCACGTCCCATCCCGCCGTGGGAAGGGCTGCGTTAGCTCCCGGGGGCGTGGGGAGGTACGGCAGCTCCATGCCGTGCCCCAAAACCAGTATGACACACTCTGCCTGCAGGTATCCTTACCTCGCTGTTAACATCGCACGGCTCGAAAGCTAGAGTGGTGTTCTCCACAGTGATGCATCTTGCCATGGCTACGTTGACAAGCTAGAAAACAGCACCAAAATGCAAATTTAGACATAAATTCCCAAGAAGGAGAGGCTGTTACACTGCAGTTAACCTGCTGGATTCACAGGACACTGATTAATACTGTCCACTTAACCGAGGGAAGCAGAGGGGATGTGTCATAGCCCTCGGAGGGGTGTGTAAATGCACAACTAGTCCACTACGTATGTTTTTCTACTGAGAGAAGCTTGAAACTAACTCTTTCCAGAAATATTCAAGGCTGGATGAGACACAATCTTTTTTTTTTTTTTTTTTTTTTCCTCCCCAGACATAGCTCATGTTCCTGTTCTGCAAATCCACAAAACTACAGCTCCCAACAACTGCAGAATCCCTTCCCGTTGCTACACGGTGAAGGAGGCAAGCAGTCACTGTCCCCAGACGATGCAAGTGTCCGGTGGTCCTATCCCAGCTGGAGCACAGGGCCCTGGGCTCCGGCTGCCCACGGCAGACCCTGTTGCCAGCCCCAGGGAACGACCCCATCATTATCTGTGATGTGCTCAGCGTCTCACCCCCAGGTTCCCCGAACTGGAGAACCCCAGTAGGAACATCCTCATTAAACAGTTTTTAACTAAGCTGCTGGTGGGGAGAAAGGGAGGACGAGTGAGCACTGCAGCCTGGGCACCACAGACCAGACCTTTCTCTAAGCGTGCATCAGTAAGGGCTGCTCACATCTCCAATTCCTTGCAAATGTCGTTCCTTCTCCTTCTTTCAGTATTTCTGAACAACTTACGAATTAATCTCAGTGAATAAACAGGCTATTCAGCAAACGGTTCTCAAGTAACTTTGGATAGTGTTTAGCACAGCTGGAATTTGCAGAGTTAGCTGAAAAACAGATTTTCTGCCCTATTAAATTTTGAGAATGAAGATAAAAGAGCCTGAATCGGGACAGAGCAGGGCAACATCTTGAAAATTCTCACAAACACCTCTGAAAAGTGGAGGTTTTGGTTCAGTTGAAGCAGAGATCTCTCTATATGGTCTAACTGCTTTGCACTGAATTTGACATTAAGTTTTAACGCTCTAAATGAAACAAAAGAGGTGAAAAAGTGAGTATTTCTCAAGAAATTTCCATTGTTTTATGTTCTTAAGACTATTACTGCCAATTCTTTTTAAAATAAAGTCACTTAAGATGACGTTTCACTGAAGCCTTCAGTCTAATCCAAAGGTGCTTTCCAGAAGGGAAAGCAGGGACGTCCCTTTCCAGGGATGCAGGCTTTCAGCCGTACGAGTTTCGGAGAGGGTGGGCTTGCAGCTGCTCAGGGCAGCGACCGGCCGCTGCCATCACACCGAGATGGACGGACGCATCCGAACGGATCCACTGCTCATAATCCGCTGAGGTGCCCGAAACCAGCAGTTTCCTACAGCTTTTCCATGAGTGCCACGAGGTCACCCAGAGGCAGCACGACATCCCGCCCGTGCTCTCTGCAGAGCCACCCTCCCACACCTTCACGGCTCGATCACGAAAGTAACGCACTGGCTGCGGCTGGCAGAGAGCCTGACTCAATCCGTAAGGGATCCCTGGGACAGGGAACCTCCATGTTACACCCTTGGCCCACAGACAAGCCTGAAGTGCAGCCAGATGGTTGCGGAGCTTTTCCCTGGCTCCCAGAGGGCCAGTGCAGTAACCAGAGGCCGAGCACCTCAGCAGGGACAGAGGGGACGGGCAGTTCTTGTTCTCACTCCCCAGCCGTGCCAGCCTCGCCATCACCAGCTCCTGGCCACCTCCTCCCAGCAAGCGTTGCTCCTGCCACAGCACTGGGAGACGCGGATGAGTGGGGAAGGCAGCAAACCCTTTAGTTTCCATTCCTGGTGTCGCTGCAATTTTTCTGGCAAACTAGATATTTTACTTTTTTTAAAAAAATTGCAATTGTAACTAGCTTGCAATCAATGTTTTATGTTTTCTGGGCAGAATTTGAGGTTTCTGAATGTTCAAAGCAGCAGTTGATCACCCACCGCTCCCTCCCGACACCACGGCTTCGCCCGCCCTC